CTGTGTTGTACAGCTGAAACTAATTCTAAAAAATGTGTATTTCATAATAAAAAATAATTTAATACAAAAACAAAACAAAAAAACAATATAAAAAGAAAAAAAAAAAAGCAAAGGAATGACAAGCCCAAGATCCAGAAATGTGGTCACCATGGTGCTTACTGGGAAACACTCTGTAGGTGGCCTCTCGTCCAGTTCTCCCCTCCTCCTCTGCATTATCTTGGCACTGACATGAGCCAATATTTGTTCTCTTGTTGACACAGGACAAACCTATTTCATTGCTGCCAACACGCCTTTTTCTCTCTCTTCCAGTGGCGACAGAAGATGTGAAATTCTACTTCCTTGGCTCATACCCAGACACCTCTTCATGCCCGCTTGCCCTCTCCAGGGACAGTGCCATGCACTTCCAACTGAGCAGGATGCCTCTGACTATCTGACCACCACCCACCGTGCTTGAGCTCCATGCCTCTTACTCACCAACCTTCCCACGCCCCACACCTGAGCCTGGAAGGCTCACTCCTGGTGAGTGATCCCCAAGTATGGAGACAGGGAGCCACCCTCAGACCCCATCCATTTGCATCTTACCCTCAGGAAGAATTTTAAGAGGCCTCTTCTGTCCATCTGGAGAAGGTTCCCAAAGATGGGCAGAGGACGGGGGCCTGGTGGGAGGCGGCCCTGTGCCTTTGGGTGGCCCCTGGCCAGGAGAAGCAAGAGACCTGTGAGGAAAGCAAGGAGGAGGAAGACACTGAGCTCCATGGTCTCAGCCTGACTGCCTTCCAGCCCACTGCCGATTCAAGATGGGCCCTTTATCCTCAGACTGCCTCTTCACCCGCTTATGTAATGTCACCCATTCCCCGCCTCCATCTCATTATTGTCCAGGAATTTGAACTTGGAAGACAGGTGATAAGGCGCCCATACTCCCTGTTTAGGTAGCCCAGTGACCTGCTCACCGCCTACCCTAGCACTCCCTCCCCAGATACCAGCAGAATCCTGTGGTAGTTTCCAAGGTCAATGTGAGTATGTGTCCATACATGAGTTGTCTGTTTATTTTTGTGGTTATGGTGAGCATACACTGTCTACTTGTGATCTTGTTTGTGTGTTGATGCTTGCAAGTTTGTCCATTCCTGATTGCATCTGTGTGTGTGCCTGTAAGATTGTTATATGTAAAGGGGTGTCTGTAGTGATGTGAACATGCTGATGTGTTTCTGTGTATGAGTCTGCATGTGCTTATGCATGTATTTTTGCATGTGTAGGCTTATGTGGATTAACATGCATTCATATGTGAAGAGATGTTTGCATGTGCATGGTGGTGGTAGTGGCGTGTGTCCCTGTGTGTGCATCTGTGTGTGTTTGTGTGTTTGTGCATCTCCCTGTTCTTGTGTTTGTAGGGCCTTCAGGTGCTCAGTCCCCCTTCCTTCACCCTCCTTTCTGTGACAGCCACAAATGGGAGAAATAGAAGGAGTGGGGAGAGACACAGAACTGGTTAGACTCAGAGGTGGAGGGGGTCAGGTGGAGAAAGACAGAGAGACTGAGACCTGGCAGGGGGACACTTGGTCCCCTGTATCGCTGACTGCTCTCACCAGCACAGAGCAGTTCTCTCCCTGCCTCTGGCTGTGTGTTTACAGTGCAGGACATGTCTCTGATCCTCTCTGACAATCTGTGTATCTATGTGTCTCTCTCTCTTGCTTTCTCTCCCTGTCTCAGTGTCTCTGTTTCCCCTTTTAGACGCTGAGTCCCGGAAGTGCAGAGACTGACCCCAGTTTGATTGATGTCTGAATGAGACCAGTTCACTCAACCGAATGCCCCTGTCTCGTCAGCCAGGAGCTCACCAAACGGGTCTCTGAGAGGATTGGGCCAGAGATGAAAAAGAAAAGAGAAGAGAGACAAAGTGCGGGGACAGGAGGGACTCAGTCTGCTGGTGGCAAAACTGAGATCTCGTTTATTGGGCATACAAGATTCTTAAGGGGAAGCAATTTCCTCATTTTAGGGAGCAATTCCCTAACGCTAAAACTCATGGGCTGAGAAGAAACAATTTCTCCTCAGCAAGAAGCTATGTTATACACAATATAAACCAATGATATAGCTAGGCAAGGTTAAACTGAGGCAAATAGAAACTGTCAACAAGTCCACAGTAGAAAGTCGCAAGCATGTGAAGCAGGTCCATGGTATAAAGTCCCAGAGTGGAAATGTATGTTGAAACTGCAAGTCCATAGTCCATGAGCAACTGAATCCCTTAGCCCATAAGCTTTTCCTATCAGCAAGCTGGGATCTTTACTCCTTGCACTTGTGTTATCTGGAAGCAGTTTAAGGCAGAAACACTGTCCCAAAGGTCCCCACCAAACTGCTGCAAGGCCGCTCACCCCAGGCCTGTATCTACCTGGAGACTGAAGCTTGCCAACCTAAAGCCTCAGTGTCCCTGGCTGATTCCAGCCAGCTCCCAACAGATGTCCACTGGGCTGGTGTCACTCTCCATCATTGCTCTGAGCCTCCAGCAAGCTCAGTGCCAATTTGCAGAATATGTGAATGATTGTGTCCACATGGACCTGTCGTACCCTGGGAATGACTTTCCACCCCTCTCTGTGTCTTTTTTTTAAAAGGGAGTGGAGGGAGATTAGGTAGCATCTTTCTTGCAATGTTAGGCAAACTACTCCAGGTACCTCAGATAACTGAAATCTTTTTGTGTCTGACTTATTTCACTGAGCATAATGTTCTCAAGTTTTATCCATGTTGAATGTGGCATGTGTGACAATTTCCGTCTTTTAAAAGACTAATAATAGTCCAATGTATATATACACTACACTTTGCTTATGCATTGATTTGTTGATAAATACTTGAGTTGCTTTTACCTTTTGGTTATTGTGAATAACGCTGCTATGAACATGGGTATAGAAATACCTCTTTGAGACCTTGCTCTCATTTATTCTGGATGTATACAAAGAAGTAGAATTGCTAGGTCATGTGGTAATTCTATTTTAAATATTTGGAGGGACTGCCATACTGTTTTCCAGAGTACCTGTACAATTTTACATTGTCACCATCAGCGCACAATGTCCAATTTTTCCACATCTTCACCAACACTTGTTATTTTCTGTACAGATTGATATAGAGATATAGCAACAATCCTAATGTGTCTGAGGTGTTATCTCATTGTGGTTTTATTTTCATTTTCCTAATGATTACTGCTGTTGAGCATCTTTTCATATGCTGGTTGCGCATTTGTATACTTTGTTCAGAAAAATGTCTAATCAAATGTTTTGCTCATATTTCAGTTGGATTGTTTCTTTCTTGTTGAGTTGTAGGTATTCTTTATATATTCTGTGTATTAACCCTTTATCAGATATATGGTTTGCAAATATTTACTCCCATTCCATAGGTGGCCTTTTCACTCTGTTGATATCCTTTGATACACTGAAGTTTTTAATTTTGATGCAATCCAACTTATGTATTTTTACTTTTTTTACCTATGCTTTTGGTGTCATCTCTGTAGAAAAAAATGTTAACTTCAAATTCAATAACTACAATGCTATTCAGGTTATTTATTTCTCTTTTAGTGAGCTTTGATAGTTTGTATCTTCTAAGGAATTTGTGCATTTCATCTAAGTTTTCAATTATATTTTCATGTGTCTTTTTTACACGAGTTTTGAGAAATTTGATTATGGTGTGCCCTGGTGTAGCCTCTTTATATTTTGTTTCTTTTTTTTTTTTTTTAAGATTTTATTGGGGAATTCGGGGAGGGGAACAGTGCTGGGGAATCGGGGGAAGGGGAACAGACAAGTTGCTGTTGTTTTGTTCTTAAGTCGAGTTGTGGAGGATGTTGTTTCACTGGCCCAAGCTGGCACCATCATTGCACTCTTCCCAGGCAAGGCAGATCAGTCACTGGCCTCTGGTCGGCCGCTCACGGCGGCTGCTGGCCACTCATGCTGGCTGCTGGCTATACACGGTAGCCCATGGCAGCCCACTGCTGCAGGGGACTGCAGCCTACGCTGTCACCGGCGACCCACAGCAGCCCAGCTCCAGGTTGAGCTGTTGTTCAGCATCTTAGCTGTACAGGGCAGTGTCACTGGCGCTCATATGTGGGATCCGAACTGGGGCCCTCTGGCGTCCCAAGCCAGTTCTTAATCAATGCGCCACTCGGCCCTTTTGTTTCTTTGTTTGTTTGTTTGCTGATATTCTTAGATATACATGTTCATAATTTTCACCAAATTTGGAAATTTTTCAACCATCAATTTTTTCAAATATATTTTTTGTCTCCACCTCTCTCTCCTTTCTTTCAAAGACTCAATTATACATAAATTAGGCCTCTTGATGTTGTCTCACAACTCAGTGACATTCTGTTTATATTTTTTAATTCTCTTTTCTCTGTATTTCATTTTGAATAGTTTCTATTTCTGTGACTTCAAGATTACTAATCTTTTCTTCTACACTTCTACAGTATCTAATCTGCCATGAATTCCATAAGTGTATTTCTATCTCAAGTATTGTAGTTTTTACCTCTAATGTTTGATTTGGGTCTTTTTCATATCTTCCGTATTGCTACTAAACTTTTATAACATATGGAATACCTTTATTATAGCTGTATTAATGTCCTTGTCAGCTAATTCTAACATCTGTGTCAGCGTTTCTTTCCTCCTCTTTATTAGCCATAATTGTCTACCTCTTTGCATGCCTGGTAACTTTTTGTTAGATTCCATACAGTATGAATTTTACCTGGTTGTGTACTGGATATTTGTATTGATACATATCCTTAAGCTTTGTTCTGGAACACAAGTAATACTTGGAAAATGTTTAACCCTTTCAGGTCTTCTTTTTTAAGATTTGTTCAGTGAGTTCTGAGAAGTGTGCCGTCTAGGACTGATTATTCCCCACTACTAAGCAAGGCTTTCTTGAGTCCCAGTGCCTCAGGAATTACGATTTTTTTTTTCAGTTTGGCTGATGGGAACAAGTACTCTTTCTGGCCTTGCCTGAGTACCATTTCCTCTAATCTTTTGTTAGGGTTCTTTCCCAGCCTCTAGTATTTTTTATACACCCATGTTTGATCAGTCCTCAGCTGAATGTTCTCCAGGGACCCTCTGAAGATCTTCAGAATTCCTTCTCTCTGCAGCTCCTAACCTGTACTTTGTCCTGTGAATTCTAGCTGCCTTGGACCCCTTAGACTCTCCATTCTGTCTCCTCAATTTGGGGCGTGAATGGGACTCCACCTGGGTTTTCCTGACTGCACTGATCCTGAAAACTCCTTGAAGAACATACACTGAGACAACTGTAGACACTGAGATCACTTTTGTTTTTGATTTCTCAGACGCACAGTCTTTCATTGCCTGATGTTCTGTGCTTTAAAAACTGTTATCATGTCTGTTCTCCATGTAGTGGTTATTTCAGTGGGGTTATTTCCTCTGGTCATTGTTACTTCATCTTGCCCATAAGATGCCCTGTGTATATTTCTGTAGATGAGTCAGCTTATATCTGCATGTATGCTTTATATGCTTGTATTGTTTTCAGTGTGAGAGTGTGTTTGTTTTTATAGGGTGGTGATGGTGTGTGTTCCTGGATGTATGAGTCTGCATGTGCTCGTGTGTGTGTGTGTGTGTGTGTGTGTGTGTGTGTGTGTGTTCTGGTTCCTATCTTTGTTTGGCCTGCAGATGCTCAGTGTCTTTCTCTTTTATCTCTCTTTTTTTGTGACAGCTGAAAAGACAGGGTCGAAGAGAATAACAGAGAGGGGATGAAAGAGTCAAATTTGGTGAGTCCCATAGCAGGGGTAGGACAGGTGGAGAAAGGCAGCGAGACTGTAATCTGAAGACATGGAAACATAGTCAGTTGAGAGGCCTGAGACTCTCACATGTTTTTTTGTTTGTTTTATTTTGTAATCTGAGAAATTTTATGAACTCTGTATGATAGTTCCCCTGCCATTCTGATCTTTTTCTTTTTGTTTTTAGTAAAGTACAGTTGACATACAACATTGCATTAGTTTCAGGTGCATAACATAGTTTTTCAACACTAATATACCTTATGATGTGATCCACCCAAAAAGTCTAGTAACCATCGGTCACTCCATAAAATTATTCCAAGGGCCAGCCAAATGGCGCGTTGGTTAAGAGCTGGAGTGGGACGCTAGCTCTGAGCAGCAGGGCCCCAGTTTGGATCCCACATGAGGGCCAGTGACACTGCCCTCTACAGCTAAGATGGTGAATAACGGCTTGACCTGGAGCTGGGCTGCTGTGAGTCGCCGGCGACGGCATAGGCTGCAGCCCTTGCTGCAGTGGGCTGCCATGAGCTACCATGAGTGGCTGGCAGCCAGTGTGAGCTGCCAAGAGCCACCGTGAGCGGCCTTCCAGAGGCCAGCGACTGACCTGCCTCACCCAGGAAGAGCACAATGATAATACCAACATGGGCCAGTGAAACGACGTCCTACACAACTAGACTGAAGAATATAAGAACACCAACTTTTCTGTTCCCCTTCCCTGATTCCCCAATGCTGTTTCCCTCCCCCAATTCCCCAATAAAATGTTTTAAAAATATTAATAAAAAATAAAAATAAATAAAATTATTTCAATATTATTGATTACATTCCTTATGCTATACATTACATCCCTGTGACTTATTTATTTTATAACTGGAAGTTTGTACCTCTTTTCCCCTTCATCTTTTTTACCCACATCCCACCTGTCTCAACTTTGGCAACCATCAGTTTGTTCTCTGTATCTATAAGTCTGTTTCTATTTTTTTGTTTGTTTTGTTTTTTAGATTCCATATAAGTGAACTAATACAGTATTTTCCCATCTCTCTCTAACTAATTTCACTTAGCATAATACCGTCCAAGTCCACCAGTGTTATCACAAATGGCAAGATTTTACTCTTTTTCATGGCTGAGTAATAGTCCAATGTGTACACATACATATATACATCATTTTTTTATTAAATTATTTCTTATTAAGAAAT